AGACGCACCCCGTCAAAGCACACAGTCCCCGTTGATCGGCTTGTGGACTGGGATTACTGGTACTCGAGTACAGTACTCGACCAATCAGCGGCGAACTGCACATGATATCTAGGTGTTCCGCAGCTGTGGTCTAACTATGGCCTGATGTTTTCACGTCTCTGGAGTGGTAGCAATTCGCAAAAGTTGTCCACTGACCCGCGCCTCAGATGTTGGCAGGGGTGACACAAACTTTTCTCCGCTGTCTCGGCGATCCAAGATGGCTTACGGGTACAAGCACTTGTGCGGCCGGGTTGGGGTTGCACACTTGAGGTGGAAATTCAAATACGAAGCGTCCAATTTCAAGATCCCCGCCCTAGTACTTGCAATTCCAACAATAGCAAGAAACCTTGGTTTCGGTTACTTTTGGGCGAGTTCCAGCACTCGAGTGGAGTGGGTTACGATGTTCGTACAATAAATGGCATTTATTTCTAGAGCAGGATTTTTATTTGGTTAACCATCCCCACTAGATGGGCGATTGGATATCTCTCTTCCCTTCTTTCATTCATCTCTAAAGAAGCCATTACTAGTACTTCCACTAGATTGTAGTTATCACCTGCTATACCGCCACTAATTCTGGACCCGAAGCGTATCCTGCCCGGCAGTAAGGAGGAGGGGGGGAAATGAACTGAATACCGGTACTTCATCTTCAGCTGCTCCCAACTCTTGCACGGTCTTGAGTAACTCTTGGGCCCTTTCGCTCCGTGAAGTGACTTTTCTGCTGGCTGGCCAAGCTAAAGTGTTTAATTTACTGCACGATAAAGTACCGGTAATTCAGCTGGGTAAGCTCTTTGAATAGGATGCAGTGCAAAACCCTTTCGGATACCATCGGCCGGGAAATATACTTGCACCATCGAAAAAGTGAAACCTGTGCAAATAGTTACCTTATCTCTGACCCATCATGAAACTGTAAAGAAAAGTTAAACAAAAGATAAGGTGAAGGCAGGGAAAAATAAATATAGTATGTTTTTGGTGACTTGTTTCCCCAAGAATTCCTAGAAAATTGCTAAACTACTTCACCCCTTGGCTCACTTCATACTAAAAAGGTGTAGAGAATATTTGGAAAAATATCACAAGCTTCAAGTAATTCTTTTTTTTTCCTGCGATTTCTTCCCGCAACTTTCTCGGCCCCCTTGCATTTTTTGAGGGGCAAAAAAGCATGGAAAAGGGTGTCAATAGTTTGTTGTTCATTGCGACCTTGGTATTATATCGCAAAGACTTCACTTTTTCGATGGTGTCCGAGAGGGTTTACCGCTAAGCGCATGGTACTGTACGGTACTGTACTCGTACAGTACCGGTATCAAAGAGGTTTTCTCAATTCAGCCGAGGGCTGTCGATGCCAATAGGGAGGTTTCGTTACGACGGCTGTGACCTGAAATACAAGTACCCCCACCACTAGAGCAGGAACATTACCGTGGCCTACAGGTATCTAAATGTCTGCTAGTGTCCTATTGCCCGAATTTTCAATCGTAGGAGCGGTTCTTATATAAGACGGTCGTATAACAGGCCCCTGTTTACACTACGGTATTGTTTGCAATGTTGCCAATGTATGGTATTAGCATATCATATTTGTAGTCGACACTACTAGGGCTTGGAACCAAATTTGAAGCCGACGGTAGGGTATGATGGGTTTCAATTAGTTCCTAGCAAAAAAGTGTTCTGACTTGGTTGCCACACACACAACCCTCCATGAAATAACCACACCTCGGATTTAGGACCGTCTTACAGGCTGCTGGCTGCAAAAAAGGGAAAAACCTCCCCAATGGGAATTTAGAGGCGGCACAGTACCAAGAGGCCGGGAGTGTTCAAAAGAGCAGTTGAGTTTGAGCTCACGCATAGCAAACCGATGGCACAAGCCCACACGAGCCTTCACAATCCAGATCCTGGGATGATGTCCGGCCAAGCACAGTACGAGTACAGTACTCGAGTACAGTACTATAATACGGTATATTCTGCCGGTATAAGCATCACACTTAGACACAGGGATCAAAAGCTAGTTTGGCGAATTGTCTGTGCGCATTAGGGCGCCCACCATGGATTCGGTCCCAAACCTTCAGCTGCGATGCGACACTTCGTGAGGCATACCGTGCTTGGCCACGCTTGAGGTATTCAGATGTCCTGACGCCAAGATCGACATATTTAGGTGCAAACTTGGACATCTTGGCGCAAGGGCCCGGGGCACTTTGTGGATTTTCGAGTAAGTTGTAGCCTCTACCATTTAGAATACCGGGGATACTGCTCTCCCTACTCCCTGAGTTCGTATCCTGTTACTCGAGTAGACTGCGGTACTCGAGTACGCCGCTCATTCTCGCCACGCGATTCCAATTCAACTCAGACTGGAGCGCTGTTCAGGTATTGATTGTCATTAAAACCACTTCGCTGAAACCGTAGTTGCTGCACGCTTATCCTGGTGGCGGCGGCAGCTATTATGTGTGCAGTTGATGGCGATACGGTACTCGAGTACAGCGTCTAGCGCCCGGAATTGGCCCTCACCACAACCGGACCCGGTAATGAACAACAACAAAAGCGAGACATTTTGGAGAAAAGCTCTATAGAGCCACCCCAAATCCACCGCTCCCCAATCCCACGAACGCCATCTTTTGATGGAGCGAGTACGGTATTAGTTGAGGATGGTAAGAGCGGCATTATGGAAGGGGTGAGCGCACATACAAAACTACCGGTACCAGTACGGTACTCGAGCACAGTTGCACCTGGCCATAGGGAACGCAGAAAAGCTGTTTACTATGAGGACCAGCCAATAGGAAGGCCGGAAAGGCAGCCAACACGCCAGTCACAGCCTTTCCCTTCGCTCCCCCGTTCAATAGCCAAGTGCAGCTGTTCAGTACTCGAGTACTCGAGTAGTACCGGTATTTCAAGGGCTGTAGTCTGCAGTCGGCGAAAAGAAGTAAGTAAAAAAGCGGGTCAGACCTTAGCATCGGGCACAAACCCGGAGGCGTTCCAGGGCGGTGGGATTAGCGACCAGGAACACAAAGTCCGGGTTAGGAATTAGCTACCCATTTCGGGCATGGAATTGGGTTTTTAAAAGTTGAAGTGACTCAGCATCTTTGGCAACAAGAATTGCCAAACGAATCACATGCGCCCGGCTTGCGCTTGAAGTGAAAGAGTCCAGTAATTTGCCGTATTGGCACAAGTATCGGTGCTTGATATGATCAAATGAAGATCCGAATAATCAAAACCAAATTATTACGTTACCGGGGTACTGCTTGTGCTCATGGTTGCCACGCCGGGGCTTCTGATCCACTTTGGTCAGATTCCACCCGGCACACGAGACCGCTTTGCTATTCTCTTTGTAATGATCCTCGTACTCGTAAAGGTAAAACATTGTATGAGGTCAAAGTGAGCCGTTCCCGAGATCCGTATTCACATCCTCAGCAGAGAATGGCGGCTTCTAAATATCTACGGTTCCCTCGATGGCATACTTTTAACATTTATACCTCTAGGGAGACAATTGAGCAAAAATGGTTCCAGTTTGACTTGCAAGTAATGCTCTATCCATACAAGTACGAACCCTGTCACTGAAACAGTAGCGCACCACCGGTACTGGATAGTGTATTGCGGGGTAAGTCGGAATGTCAGATTCACATGGGGGCCGGATTATATGTAGACTAGTGGAAACCCCGGTGTTGTTAGTACAAGTACTAGAGTACAAGTAGCTCTGGTCGTGATAGTTCGATCCCTTGAAACCTCCCGGGATAACTGCATATTTCTGGGCGACCCGGTGCAGCTGGGGCTCCGCCATACCCAACAAACCCCCATATTCGTACTCAAACACGGTACTCGGTAATGCGATGCTTGCTAAGCTTCAGGGAACATTACGGTACTCCGGTACCCCGAAACAGGATTACTGTAGCGAACTTGGTCGCTGATTTACGGTTTTTAGATCTCCAAAGGGATGAAAGAAGGAAAGAAAGGAACGGCAAAACGATAAGCCATTCCCACCCAGCAATTTCAGTGCCATCCGTTGTATACCGTACCGGTATTACGTGCGCAGATAGGGGAGGTTACACCCTTCCCCTTCACTGCTTTTGGCACCATATGTTTACCGTTCCGGATTCTTTTGGTTGGTCCTTTGGAGGTAGCGGTACTATACTGTACTGTATGATATATTAACACTTTGCACATACTGGCGCAGTTTGTTTCCGCAAAATTCTCATACCCTTCCAAGTACCTTACAGTACTACAGCCAATTTGAAATGCTTCGCTAGCCCTATATTTCTACCTGCATTATTTGGTAAGAAACAAATTGTGATAAAGAGTCTGCAAGGTGAGTGTGTGCTTACGAGTAGAGGCATATCCGAGGCATGAGAACTCGGTGGGCGAAACTGTATATATATTATGGTATTATACGGGCACCCTCTATGTGATACTGGCTACTAGAGCTTCACTATAGGAACAGTACCAGTACTGACTTGCCTGCTTGTTAAAGTACTGCTATTTCTACCAACTGAACGGGCACTGTATGGGAGGAGCACTATGAAAACTATGGCCATTCCAGAACCTGGTGTCGCAGCCTAGGTTATTTTTTTTCTTTTTCCTTTTTTTGCCCTTACCACCGGAACCACGGCTCGAGAACTCAACAGGTTTTTGGAGGTTTGGCTGCCGTTTCAACTCCGAGGTGCTGATGTCACGTCTGGTTTTTGTACGGAATTTGCAAGCCTGTGGATAGTTCCCGAGGTTGCGAACGCCGGGGGCTGTCGGGCTCCCGACTCCTGGCGCAGTTCTCGAGCGGAAGGGAAAGGAGGGTTTGAAATTGTTCCTCAAAAATCGGCTACTATTTCTGGAATCACAATACCGGTACTGCCCTCGTATTGTGCTCGAGTACTGGTACCGGTTGTGTACAGTACCAGCGCATGGTGGACGAGCCAAGATGCGACACCTTTGGACCTCTCTCCAATCTGCCGACCGTAGAAATAGGGAAAACCGCCGCCGAGTCTGGCTGCTCCGATGTGCTCGCACGTACTCGAGTACATTCCTTCTGCTCCTTACTTTTCCATGCCGGCACAGTAAACCCCTTGCTCCCTGGTTCCCGGTTCTTTAGAGTGCTTGCGCTTGGACAGTGTGGGCATTGCATCTATTCGTGCTAGAGTACTCGTAGAGTACCGAACCGGTATTTGGTTTCGCTTCACCAGAAGGTTTGGAGCAAACCGGGAAGGAGCAAATCCCCGCTATCTCCTTTTACGCTTTTGTCCCTCTACTCGTACCGTACTCTCCCCTTCCTCCCTCTTTCTCGCTCACTTTTACCCTTTCTCCCTCTACGAGTGCCGACAAGACAAGGTGACACGGGGGTCACCGATGTTTATGGGATTTGCCATTCCCGGTCTAGCCCGATCTAAGCCTACCTTCCATTAACTCTTTACTTAACCTTCCTAGCTACCGGCACTGCGGTGATGCTCCAAGGTGTCACACCAGTATCTGTATGGTAGGGATAAGTGGTGAGGTATATATCAATCCGTCCCCCCGTTCCCGTCCAACCCATCCCTTCCCCGCAAACACAGAGGACAAGCGGTTTTTTTTTTTGGCTTTTGCGGTTCCGCTTTTCGGTTTTGGTTGGTGTGAATTGATCGAAGCTCGAACTGCGTGAGAGAGAGAGAGGGTAGTGTGTGTGTGTGAAATTGTCACGAGATGGGCGAAGGGTTGGGACCACTTTTCCTGGTGGTTATGTATTCCTTGTTGGTGCTATCGACGATATTTATGGCGTTGAGGTGCGGTACTGTCCGGGCTCGATTTGTAGGTTGGGTGAGTCTGGGTTCGTGGATTGGTGGGCTAACAAGCAGGCTGCGCGGGATGGTTTCTAGATTTTACTGTCGAGCGTCTATTGTCAAGATGGTTGGACCAGACGATTGGATCATGCTTGCTGCTTTTGTGAGAATCCTTCTTTTTTGTAGTGGGTTTTTTGGAGGAAAGGTGATAGCTGACCGGTTGACTGGTTGGTGGATAGGTGAACGCCTGGGGGCTAGGTTGGTTCAACATCTACGGACGTAGCATGTCAGGTCCAGTCCGCGTCTGACAGAAGACAGGTATAACAAATCATTTTCAGATAAAATACGGCATTGGGCAAGTTCTCAAAATACCTCCCCCCCCCCTACAATCACCGCTAACAATCACATAGGGCCCACGCAGCGGACGCACCGGTACTTCCCCTTCCTCTCGCAAGCCCATTCCAATCCTACTGGAAATACAAACTAATAACGACCTCAGCCGTACGATGAGGTCATCATCCCAACCCTCAAACTCTGGTACGTCTACCAGCTGCAATACCTCGTTACTCTGTTCTTGATCAAATCAAGCATTCTCTCCTTCTACCGGCGCATATCCCCGGAGAGAGGCTACCAGCTTTCGATAACGATCGTCAGTTGCATTGTCGTGGCCTTCACCGTCGCGATGTTGTTTGTGAATGTTTGTTTCCCCCCTTGCTCTACCTGGTTGGATTCTGGTTTTCTAACACCGGAATGGAAAAGGTATTTGAATGCCCCAAGGACCCCAGCAGAGCATGGTCGCGAGGTTTCCCGAGTGGCTGCAACGACCTTGTAGCGGTGTACTATTTCATGGCGGCCTTCAATATCATCTCGGATATCGTTATCTTGGTTCTGCCGATGCCGTCGCTGTTGAGATTGCAGATCAACAGGAGGAAGAGAGGTTTGCTCTACACGATCTATGGAAAAAAAGTTAATATACTAACACTTGGAACTTTGAAGTGGCGTTGATCCTAATTTTCTCCTGCGGTGCCATCGTAGTGGTAGCTTCGGCTGTCCGCATAAGCGCGTTATATAAAAACCAATATACCATTAAGACAGGAGGAGATATTCCTTGTAGATATTCCACCCCCCTCCTTCTTGCGCCCATACTAACTATTTTCCTAGACGTAGCAACCTATGTCCTCCTGTGGTCCCAAGTAGAGGTCAACGTCGGCATCATCACCGCCTGCGCCCCTGCCCTGAAGCCCCTCGTCCACTCTGTCCTTCAAGGCACTAGCCACGCAAGGAACGGCTATGCACAGAAGGCCATTGGCTACTCGGGAACCGGGCAGAGGAACAATCATGCCATACCCCTGCGTTCTCTAGGGTGTAAGGAAGCCAATAAGTCACATGGAAATACTACTACGGTCGACGCGGGGAGTAGCGAGAGCCAGGAGGATATTGTGTTCAAGGGCGACGGGATTGTCAGGACGGTGGAGGTGAAGGTTGATATGGAGGTGGACGGGAGATCGGAGGATAGTATACGACAGCTGGAGTTTGGGCCGCAGCGGGTTTGAGGGGGGGGGGGTAACTTATGCTTTTTGTTTGGTTGTTATGCCGTCATTGGAAGATTGGATATTGTGGTTTTAATGAGTTGTAAATATTAGATATCGACTTTCTTTGTCTCGACGGGTTAGTAATATATTATCACGATACTATATATTTAGCCCATCGTCCGCAAGATCACCCCACACTCCCCTCACCCATCCGCCGATCCGCAGCCCCGCTCATCATTCCGCCCATACCACTCAAAACACACATCTGTGTTCGCACCCCCGCTACCATACCCCACCCCTTAACCCCAACCTCTGCCCCCGCCCCGTCCCTGCACAAGTCCCAAACGGATTTACCCACGCGGGGCGGGCAACGCAGAATATACTATATATCCACACCCACCTCGCGAGTCAAACAAACACGCCCGACCGATAGGCACAAGATCCGCTCTTATCAGATAGCGAGCACCCTCCGAAATCGGCTGCGCTGCCGACACGAGCACCCACAAAACCGTCGCGGTATTATTATAGTCCCGGGCGGTTGGTTTGGTTGGTACGCCCGACTATGGTGCTTACATTACTATAAGTTATTTTTTCTGTCTTTCTCTCTTTCAAACCCAGTCTGGTACTGTACTTTACAGTGATAATGGTATTCACGAGTAGGCGTGGTGGTTCTTGATGTGGGGTTTTTCGCGGCGTGCTGGCGTGTCAGTTTTACGGCGCCCCTTTGGCCGGATGGATGGGGTTCGGGGAGCTGGATATGGCGAATATGGATAGGTGGGCAATGGGTTAGGGTTGGGTTGTGTTATCATGAAGTATCACTCGGTTAATTTGGGATTGTGAGCGGAAATTATGTGCGTTTCTCCTGTAAATTTTTGATAATAATTATGTATTCTACGGTTATAGCTTATATAAACTTGATGCACAGGCCTGGGGGAAGAGAACAAAAAAAAAAGGTGATAAAAATACAGGTAGACACCTCCTGGGTGTCCAGACATTTGCGGGGAAGAGATGGGCAGGCAGAAACAAAACAAGCGGTTGTAATGGCGACACAATGCAAAAACTCTCCGCTTAACAGTCGCCGGTGGGAAGAACAAGTGGATACTCCCCGTCGCCGAGCTCGACAACGTCGCCCGGATTTGGATATTTCAGCTCGGCGGTAGTCTGCGGGGAGAGACAGCCATTCCCGATATTCGAGACGAGGACGTTCGGCAGGTTTGAGATTCCAGCACCACCACCGGTTATGGTTACGACAGCGCAATTTTGGAAAAATTCGCGCTCGCGGTTGTTCCATGTCCTGTCGGAGATGGTTGTCATTAGCTATATGAACGGAAGAGGGGAGGGAAAGGAGCGGGCGGGATGGTTACCAGGCAAATATGACTTCCTCCCCGCTGGGAGCTTCCTCCGGGATGTCAAAGTTGAAAGTCTGGTCCGAGCCGCTTTCACGGTTAGGGCAGGATCCTGGCCAGCTCTTGATGACCTTGAAGGTCTCCCCCTTGTCGTAGGAAAGGGAGACTTGACAGCTTCCGCCGTAGTGGGTGCCGCTTCCTTCTAGACTGTATATTACACATGTTAGCACTTGATACCGAACGCTTTAGAGATATGTCGAACTTACGTGAAAGTCTGCGCACTACCAGCGGCCCATGTTGCAACCGGTTTGCCCTCCGGGGTGCCGAGGGCATCGATATGGCCTTTGCATGGGTAATCGGAGCCATCGGTTTTCAAAGGGAACTCGTAAATCTCGTCAGCCGTTTCGGTGTGAGGATTATCCCGATGTCGCATAGGAGGTGGTGACATCATGTTCATATGTCCCAACGCCGGCATAAGGAGGGTGGATCCCAGGATCATAGAAGTAAGGAATTTTGCATACATGTTGATGGCTATTATTAAAGAGGACTAAGGTCGAATAATTACTGTAGGAGAAAGACTTGCTTTCTCTTGTATGAAGAAGTGAAAATGAGAGATGAAATGAAGACCAAAAGAGATGCGGTGCTGATAACGAGAGAGCAGTCTTGGAAGTGAGATCTGGAGATGTAGCATTATATACCCTTCGAGCCAAGAGGAAACTTGAGGAAAGGCCGAGGTCCCACACGAACCATGCCGCAGATCACTCCCGACCAATCTTGAAAATACACGCTATTAAAAGGATAGTGGCCTACGAATACAGCAGTGGGAACGGGGTGAACGTTTGAAACTACAGTCTAATTCCCGATACAGGCAAAGCTATAACCCCAAACAGACACAACTAAGCGAGAACGATTCAAGAATGGAGGAACCGCTTGGCCACTTCCCCTACCAGCGGGCGAATCAACGATAGCGACCGGAACGCGGCGGGCCCAATAACCAGATCTCTCTCCAATCTGCCAAGAAAGGAACGAGCGCTTATACTTTTCACTTGTACCACAGCGAGCTTATTGGCGAGACCCTTCCTTTCACCCTGAGGGGGTATTTTGGAACACTCTGCCAGGGCTGAACCATTAGATTTTTTCCACCCCCCTTGTACCGTGCCTTAATTTGGCTTTTGCGCGGTTTGGCGAGGGGCGGCTCGACCCCTCCAGTCGATGGCTTCAGAGTGAACGAGACCATTAGTGGCGGTTATCTCCCACGAGGGTTTAACCTTTCCCGGGATCACCCCAGGCAAAAGACACCAATTTAAGAAGCCCAAAAGAGGCGGAAAACATCGCGGATCCGAAACAGCTTGGCAGGCCTTTGTCAATGGATTTTTTGCAAAGCGAATGCATTCCTTTCAAGATGGCTAGCTATCGTGGCGATTTTATTGTCAACAGTAGGGGTGTGGTGACGGGGTCCCCGTGACTGCGAGAAGGCATGGTCCAATGCTCCTGGGCAATGAGCCCGGGCGGGACCATAGGGACGGCTGATAGGGGCGCCAAAGCACGATTTGTCACCACATGAGTTCACTCGGCAGTGTTTTCACGGTGACAAAGCTACCGGCTGTCAAACAGGACGCGTTGCCGCACGGGTAAATCTGCACTCGTATGCAGCATCTGTGTTCTTTCTACTTCCCGGGTAATTCTCCGAAGCTGACAGAGGCGGCAGGTTATGAATGCTAGAGGAACTCTGGCAAAAAACGTGCTCAAAGCTCAATCGAGATCAAGTGATTGAAGTGGAGACGAGAAGCTGGGAAGGAGATGGGCTTTTTTTGAGTACGATGAGCGCCAAAACCCGGCCTCTATCCTCTTAGAGCAATACATACTCAGGAACGAAGATGCCCTTTTAGGACGACACTACGGCGTTATCCCCGTCCTCACGTCTTCAAGTCTAATCCTATCCACAACACCTCCGTTACCGTACGGTAGCCCTTCTAGTGATGTATGATAGTTGCGCGGTGTGGAAGACTGGCCGAGTCCAAGGAAAAAACGGGGTGTAGGAGAAAACAACACCAATGAGAGGCTGATGGGAGATGCACTTGATGAGGATGTGAGAGGAGAATGGGATGATAGGAAACTATGTTCAAGGTGGTAAAACATACAAAAAGAAGAAAAGAAAAAAAA